TTAGCGATTCGCATTTATTAGGTGGTTCTTATTACCATATATTAATGGTTTCATCGCAAAGTATCATTTTTAAATTTTTCGGTATGAGAATCAAGATAGTATGACTTTTACTATGGTCACGGTCTTGATTCGTTGCATATAAGTGATTTAACTTGGTTTTCGCCACTTTGTTCTATTGTCAGAGACCCAGATGAACACACCTAGTCTGGAGTCCTCTGCCAGTGTAGTCGAGAATTTCCAGAGTTGGAAGCAACTAAGTCAACGGTCCGACGCTAGAAACTATCATGGCTAGTATGGAAGAATTCGGACAAGGTCTATCTGAAGGTAAAACCAGGTAGCGATAAAGAAGTCAAACCACTTCTATCAACTCATCAGTGTTACTGAGGCTAGGGATGATACAAATTCTGCTATAAGAATAGAACTATAGAAAGTATGCTTGCAATAAATATTTAATAGTAAATTTAAATTGGTGACATATTATAAAATAATTTATTTTCAATTTTATCCAGGAATCAAGAAATCACTTTTGGAAAGATGTCGATTCGCTTGAGCTGCCTTCCTACGGAGGCATTCTAGCGCCTAATTATGCAAGGGGCGATGTACCACTATTTTGGAACAATAACTCAGTGAATGCGATAGCCACGAAATTCGGAGAAGGACGATGCATTCTATTTTCTTTTTTAAATTTCCCCCGCAATTTGTTGCTCAATCAGTCTAAAGATAATATCCTATTAAGAAGAAATGTGATCCACTGGTTAACTCAAGGGAAGAACCAAGTGACCATAAATGAATATCCAGACAAAGAAGCCCGAAATGGCTCAATTTTATTGATAGACAGTAATACCAAAGATTTCGATCCAGGAAAAATAAAGGATATGATCACTTCTGGCAGAAACCCCTGCGTCCTTGGCATAGTTGGTTGGTCAAATATATCTCAAGACACACAACAGTTAATGCAAATGCTAGGCATTCCTCGAGTTTCAGAAGTTTCCAATTGGACTCCAATTACAATTAGAGGGAATTATTTCCTTAATAGTCCTGACTATTCATCTCCAATAAATGAAATCAGATTAGCCACCCATAGCAGCCTGGTATTTATGAAGCGACAATTTACCTTCAATGCTGTCAATCAGTTAACTTCTGACACAAGTACTTTCGAAAACAACGAGTTTCAAGAGGAATTGAACAAATTTCTAGATAAATATTATTATTTTATTTCTGAAAGAGCCCCATGTCAAGCTCGGCCATTTAAGTCTAAAGAGAATTTAAGAGAAAAAACAGCTCTATTAAACTACCAAAATGCGATATTTTCTCAAATTGGACCCAGAAAAAGACCTATTCCGGGGTATCTAAATTTTCCAGGTGATTTTGCAGGTCCTGCAGAGCCAGTTTCACTCACAATAAAACTTGTTCAACTTCACCCTGACGAATTCATACCAACAGGAGCCTATGCAAAAGCGATGGTAGAGTTCTATTATAAAATAATTGACCGAGCAGGCCCTATAATGGATTATACTATGATTATTGGATGCCACTCAGATAATATAGAAGATTCTACTATTTGGAAAAGATGGCCAAAGATTTCTCATTCTAGGCAGTTAAGTAAAGAGTCTGGTACTTACTGGTCGCCATATGGAGGTCCCATCTATATAGTCTCACGCACAGGCTACAATATCACTGTAATATTACACAATGTTTATGAATATCCCTTATTTTCAACCAGAGAGCCCCAGACCGTCTCTGACTGGAGAACTAAAAAATGGCACAACAATACTACGCCTTTTATGGAATTTTCCGGTAGTGCAATACGTTTTTGTGTACCGACTGGTTCCATAAAGGGCCTTTCAACTGACCACATGCTGAATATAACCCTGCACATATATGATCGCTTCGTAAAAACGATAATTAATTATGCTGGCCTGGATTGGAAAACTGAGAGGGCTGTTCGATTTGTAGTTGATTTGCAGCCTTCTGCCGGATTTGGTCATTCTGGATATCCCATAGTCGGTGCTATGCCATGGATAGATGCATTTCTCGATCTGGACAAGATATATTCAAATGGACATTGGGGTATGTGCCATGAAATTGGACATAACTACCAGAGAAACTGGTACGAACTAGAAGGCACAAGCGAAGTTACAAATAATATTTTTTGCCTCGTGGTAAATTCCCGCGTGATGAATATATCAAAATACCTACTAGGCGAAGATAGAGGACTAAGCTCATCTGCCCAAGAAGCTGCGATCAAATTTTGGAGGAACAACGGCAGTTATCCGAAATGGGATTCAGTCGCTCTTTTTTATTATGCATATCTGCTGCATTACTTTGGAGATGGCTTAATAGGAAACACACTGTTACGATATGAACAAGATGAGAGTTCTCGACCAAAAAGTCCCTCAGAAAAGATCGACCGATGGATTATAAATTTATCTTTAGAGGCCGGCTATAATCTTGGACCATACCATGAATTATTTGGTATTCCTTTTAGTGAAACCACCAAAGGTATTATTTCTATTTTTTCATGCTTCTTGCCGGATGACGAATTAACGATGCAGGTCAAAGATCGAATAGACGAAATTTCATTCAAGTATGGAGATAAATGCGTGAGGACTATAAAGAAGCGGATTTTAAACAAGATTAATCTTCTTCAAGGACAATGGCAAAATCTTCCATCTGAAATTCAGATAGAAAGAATATAATTCAACTTTTATAGCTTTTACTAAAAATGCAACTATATAAGCTATCAACAATCACCATAGCTTGACAAAATATTAATAGTCTTCTTAAATTCAAAAATAGTTTCACCATTAAGAAACTATAGTTAGAACGTATAAAGAAAAGTACTTTAAAAAAGTAAAACCACAGCCAATATGATTCAGGCCATCATATCGCAATCAATTTGATAAGCGGGAAGAGAATAGCACTTACAAATTTTATGTAAAAGAATCGAGAAGACAGGTGAAGAACTACAAGGATATAAAGATTAAGATTGTGGCTCTGGGCATTATCCTTAAGCTGTGTAACGTTGTTTGGATCTCGTTTTCCAAACTTAGTCGGGGTAAAAGGGATACATTGGTGAAAGTACCTAGTCCTGAACTCTCTGACATAAGAATCATGATAAGTTTATGCCTAAGACTCGGTATATCCACTTTGAGTGATATACCCTTAAGCGAAATAGAACAAAATGAAGACATAGTGTTGGCTTGACATTGTGGAATGCATCTAGTCCCGTGTATTCTGTGATATTATTCATAATGATTTTCAGCATCAAACGGTTGACTTGGTATATTCCAAGACTTTTCGCCAGCATCATCAGTGAGAGGTGCTAGATTTAGCAGAGTTACAGTGACAAGTAAGGGCCTTGAACAGTTTTCTGTTTAACCGCTGCGACGTCACTTATCACCCCTATTTTTTGTACTGGCTCCTAGTGCTACTAAGCATACTTCCATTTCGAGTGAAAGTGATTCGAAAGTAGATTCCACCAGAAAACAACAAAGGATTCCTCTTGGCCAGATGTGGATTGACTTTACTGGAACATTCATGCTGACGCTGTTTCCAAGGTAATTTTCTTTGATTTCGGTAAAAAGGTGCTAAACTTTCGCCCGTCATACGACGAAAATAATCAGAGCAAGGTATCATCGTTACAGCCAAATTCCAGTGGAGTCAAGAAAACTAACCGGAAAATCCTTAAAAGCTGTATATATACTCTATATCTAGCCTCTTTGATAAGAGACCAAGTGATTTGGTCAGTTACGGTCAACCTCGAAGGTAGAACTAAATAAATCAATGACAATAAATAGTTTAAGTCTAGAGGACGTAAATAACCAGAATCAGGAGTAAAAAAGCTTAACAAAATTTTGATTGTAGACACTTAACTGTAAACATGAACTACAACGATTTCAAAATACTAAGAAATTAGATAAGAGAAAACCATTATTAAGGGATAAACAGAAAATCATACAAATCCTCGTCAACGTTCCTAATGTTTTTTTCTCACCAGCTTTCAAAAAGAGGTGATTTACTTGAGAAATTGATCATCAGGATCATGTATAAATAAATAATAACATTTTCTTCGGTTATGCCTTCTTTTAGAGAATCTTCAAACGTCCTCTGCACATGAAGTTTTTATAAAGTTTTGTGCTCATATGGAAGTGTTTATGTCGAGGAGACTTGTAGACCGATATATAAGAAGTTTTCAAAACATAAAACAACCTGCAAAGTTTTATGGATTCAGTAATCAGAGGTGGCCTAACATATGATTACTAAACGACACCTGGTAGTGGTATAAATCCCGACGTTTTACTATATATGGAGACTTAACAATTAAGGAGATCAGGAGCCGATTGAGTTCAACAAAATTAAAAAAACATCCTGAATAAGAGAAACGAGTGTAGAAAACTAGGCAAGAACTTACGTTGGATGCTGGATAGAATGAGAGAGAGCTAGCGAGAGAGGGAACAAGAAGAGCTACCGAGAAAGAAATGGAAGATTTGACAAAGCTGAAGTCTGGTATGGAACCAAAAATTGCAAATAACTTGTAAGTGTTGCATATACACAACGCAAACGCATCCACGAATCTAAAACAAGCCATAGGATTACATGAGCATACGTCAGTTTAATTAGATAGATAAAGTTTGGGACCATATACACTCCCTACATGTATTTCATTCGCTCGCATACAAGCATGTAAGACAAGCATAATGGAGCCAAACAAATCATATAGTGGCATTGCTTTCCATTTTGAAGGGAAAGTTGATTGGAATGAATTAGTGATATGATCTCACCGGAAACCGAAGGAGGAATGCTGCCTACGGAAGACTATTGAATTGTAAGAAGTAAGCGGATCACCGTGCTGCGATTCCGGTGAGACTGTGGAAGCTTTCGTCTGTACAGTGACAGACCTTATCAGAGCAGGTATCCATACTTCACGAAATGAAAGAAAAATATATTTAACCATGATAAAAGGTGGACGGCTGTAAATTTAGTCGCTTTTTTATACACTTAACACCGCAATCTTAATGAGGCATCAAATTATTTGGTTGGCTACTTCAACGTTAATCTATATGCTAGCAAATGAGTGAGGCTACTTTCCTAATTATATGTGCGTTTGATGGCAGCTGCTACATGAGACAAAAAATTAGCGTACGATAGTTCAATGTTGAATCATGTTTGGGCTTGTGCCATTGTCTATTGTGTGTATGTAATGCTCATGTGATGGTATATGTGATACTTTTATCTAGACTCGTGGCTGATCCAGCACCTCCTCTCGTTCCCTTTCCTTAAGTCTATCTAACAACCATGTAGTGTCCCTACTTTGTTTTAATAATCGTTGCAGCTAATCAGGACATTTGGAATTTTTTTAAATGTTAAAATTCTCAAATCTCACACTGTGAAATGAAGTCCCTGTAACCCGCAAAACGTTGTAATTTGGCCAGTCAATTGAGTGTTCTGTATTGGCAATGTGTTCACTGATATTAAAATTAAGGACCCATATATGTTTACAAGCGGTTTTGTGTTAGTATAGCCTCGTATGAATGGGCGGTCAGGTCTCCCGCACATAGACACATAGCACATTTTTACCGGAATCAAAGGAGATTACCTCAGAAAAACAGCGTCAACATGAATGTTCCAGTAACGCCAATCGACAG